AATTATGTACCAGGGTTTTCTATTATAAATAGAGATGTAACCTAAACCTATGAGAATTGAATAAAATTTTCTAGCGCCGCCTAGGCACCGAGGACGTAAGCACATTGCCGAACCTCGTTAAAATTCTTGTGTTCTTTCGTTTACTTTGCCCGATTTATCAACAGTTTTCCCTACATTTACTCTTCATATTGGGAAAAACAGTATGGACGACCATGTAAAGTTGGACATTTGATATTCGAGTCGCTATTTCATAATATTTTCTTAACATAGATTCTGTTGAAACATTGACCTTTGAATTTTTAACAACTTCACTTAATTTCAACTTTTACTTTTTCCACATTAATACAATCAAAATATCTATCATTTTGCAAAGTAATGAACAACGTTGATGCTGAACATCAGTGATTTAAATAGAATGAATATCATTAAAATCACTACCTTGTATCTACAATTTCAACTACATTATCATCAATCTTCACCGTCTATTTTAAGGTCTTTTATCATATATGCGCATAATGAGATTGAATGTGGCTATCTTCTTCACAAAAGTAATTCCTTGTCTTAGGAATTTGTTAGAAAAAATTAATCGATTAATATAAAATAGATCACACATAAGAAATAAGATTTAACGCGGTTTACTTTGTCTATCTTCATACATAAAAGAAACAAATAATTCATTATAAACATAGAGATTACAAAGAGAACAAATATATGAAATTTCTTGTATATCATAACCCGATATATATATTCTAAAATTAATTGTATCTATTTTTTTAAAAAAAAATTAGTGTTTCTCAAAAACTCAGTCAATATCCTTATAAAATTTATTTCTTCGCCATAAATCCCAAAACCTCTTTCAATATACTTCTAAAACTTATATGCAACATAGACCACAGTAGTTACAAAGATTACAAAAAAACATTATATATCTCACATAAAATTCTCTTCTATAACTCTAAAGATTAAAACATAGTCTATATTTATATAGAAAGCAAATTTAGTCATTAGCAATCTTCGCTTCATTAGAATTCTATCCAAATAAACTCAACTGTGAAGGTGAATTTTTCTAAAATTTATCAAAATAACACTTACTTGTGAAAGAAAATTAACCATGATACACCAAATTATTATTCAAAATCAATAATTCGTACTCTTATATACTCAAAATCAAATAATATTTAATTAAATTATATTTTAGTCCTAATTAAATAACATTGAGATATGTATGATAAGGATAAACAAATGAGGAGAGCCAGACTTATCCCATGGCATGGCAGTCCAAGTCTTATCACCAACTTGGACATTTTAACATTTTATTTGCTGATGAGGAAAGAAGTCATCTTTCATGTTATGAGGAAAATATTCACCCACTGATTGCATGTATCTCCGCTCAACTTCAGTGATTCATCATAAAATTGCAATCATTAACACGAATCACACATCCGTTTCAGATTTGGATTTATTATATTATAAAATGCTATTAAGAGAAATTGTGCTTGACCAAGTCTTTTCATTGTATAAATATATTAATTGAATTCGAATTAAAAAAAATATAATTTTAATATCAATGTTTGTTGAATTAAGAGAAAAAAAAGTTCAATATTCTTTAAAAGATATTAAGATTAAGAAACAATATTAACATAATTATAATTTATATTTAAAAATTTAATCTAACTCCACTTCAAATATAACTTTATCCATATAATTATTAAACACTAAAATGTTTTTTTAAAAGAAAAACTAAAAGCAGATTGAGAACTTCAGGCGCATGCCATTAATAAAGTAAAAGGTGTGAAATGCTTATTCTTTTAAATAACCATATATATTATTTGATTATTTATTTTATAGTTCTCCCTTTCTAGTAAATTGTTTATCACATCATCCTTGAATCATCCATTCTTGTGTTTTTATTTTAATCATTTAATTATTTTTTTAAAAATATACTTAATATTTGTTTTGTTTTTATTTTGATCTTTTGTCGTTAAAAAATAACGAGCATGATGACATATTTTAATATAATAAAATTTTCAATCTCAAAACTTATACATTCTATTAATTGTGTTTTAATTCAAAATAATCCATCAAATATTTAGACCAAACCTCAATTTTCCCATCTTACTTGTACAATAACCATTCTCTTTCTCCTCTATAAGAATAGATAAATGATCAAATTAATGAATATTGATGAGAGGCGATATACATGTCTACCGGTTTAAGCTTATTTATGACCAAACTCTAAACTTTTTATCCAAATCTAAAAGTTAGATTATATTAAATTTAAATTGGATACTGAAAATTGATTAAAATATTCAAATTAAAAACAATTTAAATAATTAACCTTTAATGACATGAATTTAAAAATTGAGTAACAAATTCAAATGTAAGAATGACAATATTGGGTCAATATCTACATCTTTTAATTCTCTAAATCCATAGATTTTTAAATATCTGAACTAAATATTCTAAAATATTAACTTTGGTCAATTTAATTAAACCCAATTCGGGAGAACGATTCAAACGCAGCTAGCTGAGCTGACTTAGGAAAGCTTGGGGTCTTTCGTATGAAAATGGCTTTGGACTACTTGACTCGGTCTAACCGGGGTGTGTTTGGAGTGGCAGAGAATTAATAATAAAACAAAAAGGATAAGATAGGAATAGAAGGGCAGAGAATGGCATGGCATGAGCTTGGAGTGGGGAGTGGGTCTTGACTCAGTTTGTCCCCCTCTTTCCCCCATTTCAATGGCTCAATATCCAACGCAGGGGAAAGGCGGTCGCCTAGTATACATGATTAAGATTTTTAGTTTTATATGTTCCTTTCACATGTATGTTTATAATTAGTGTAACTGCGATGTTCATGGAAAATGAGTATTTCTTTCTCAAGACATCTTCTTCTACATCCCTCACATAAAATTGATTAACAATAAAAAAAATTACAGCAATTATATTTCTGCAAAAAAAGTTGATTATGATCATTCACATGCACGCAATGCATATAATTATATTACACAAAAAAGCCTACCACCTGCCTGCATCACTGCTCCCCTACCCCTGCATCACTACTCCTCTACGCTGCATCACTGCTTCCCCCTGTCTAGTAACATTGAAGACGCCGGGTAAGCAAGGCGTCCAAATTTTTTTAATTGTGAACACAAATTTTTTAATCCAAAATATTCGTGAACAGTGAAGAGGCCATAAATTCGTCACTTTCAATTTTTTAATTTAAAAAATTATTTTGAACAGTGAAAACGCAATGCTTTCAACCCGTCTTTAAAATTACTTTAGCTTTTGCTCTATTTTGGAAAATAAAAACAACAATTCAATATTTTGGAAAAAGAAAAAAAGCAAATGCAATATTTTGAAAAATTGCCCCGTCTTATTCGCATAAAATCATAGACATCAAATCTCATAGAATTCAAATTAATTTTTTCTAGGAATAGTTTAAAGTAATTATAAAATTATATTATTAAAAAACTTATTAATCAGGACGGAGCAAAATTCCAACTTAAGAGGTAAAATATAATTAATCATAGAAAATGAGATAATAAAATATAATTAATCATAGAAAACGAGAGAGACATAATTTAAAAGATAAAAAGACATCAAAGACCCTGAACTTTAAAAAAAACTTATCTTTTTTTTGATCAATGTGACTCGAACTTGAAAAAAGAACTTAATGTGTTGACGTGACACGTCAAGCAACCCAACATCATATTTTAACGATCAATTTGGTCATCCAACTCATAAAATAATTCAATGTGACCCTTTGACTCTGTTTAATGTTGTTATAAATGAGAAAATTATACAATTCATCACCCAACTACTTTCTTTCTCCCATTTTAATAACTAAAATTTTAAAAGTTTTCAATTTTAATTCCTCACCTTGCTCCTATTTTAATTACCATGACCTATTTTATTAATATATATGTATGATGTGACATTTATTATTTTTATTAATATATATGTATGATGTGATATTTATTATTCTTATTTTATTAATATATGATTAAAATAATATTAATTAAATTAAAATTTCAAATTTGTGATTAAATTAATTACCATAAAAAGTTTGAATCAAATGGAGTTTAAACTTTTTTATGAAAAGTTCGTCTTGTTCATCATTTTTTAGAAAACACAATTTTTTGTTAGACTTCAACCGCATCTTACCAGTAACAGAGAAAAGAAAGTTAGTTTTTTTAGAGTTTATAATTTTAAAATTTTAATTTAATTATAATTTTGGGAATATTTTTTAATTTAAATATGATTTTAAATTTAATTTAATTTAATTTATTTATATATTAATAAAATAAAAATAATAAATGTCACATCATACATAAATATTAATAAAATAAATAATTATGATTAAAATAAGAGCAATTTGAGGGATGAAAATTAAAAACTTTTAAAATTTAGTGACTAAAATGAAAAAAATAAGATAATTGAGTAATAAATAGTATAATTTTCTCATTTATAACAACATTAAACGGAGTCAGAGTTGTTTTGTGAATAGGATGACCAAATTGATCGCTGAAAATATAATGTTGGCATGATTTGCATGCTATGTCAACACAAAGTAAAGAAGACGTTCATCAATAACGAAAAATATTAGTCAAAAGGTTGCATTAAATTTTTTCCGAGTTAAAAGATCACATTAAAAAAAATTGATAGGAGACACATTAATTTTTTTTTTTAAATTTGAGCCTCCCATACCCTTCTATCAAATTAAAATAAACTAAAATTTAATATTAAAAATAAGAGCGGGGCAGTGACCCTGGGACATAGGATGACTCAATATACAAATACTCTATAAATACAAATGCTTAAATTCTTATACTTCAAAGAAAAAAAACATGACGATTTAAAGATAAAAAAATTACCCATTTTCTTACATTGTAAGAAGGTTTAATATACATAAAAAGAGAAGAATATTGATTAGTTAAAAGAAAAGTATAAGTAATTTCATTTAGTTACATAAAAATAGAAGGAAAAGACTCAAAACTTCACTTCTTTTCCCACCATCCTCGTCTAAATTCATTTCCCCCAAACATTCCAAATCCTCTCTCCAATGAAGTTCACCAGCCTCCTCACCGACCCTTCACCAACATCTCCGCTTCCTTCTCCGTCGTTCGGTTCAATCGTTTTCAACACACCGGAATCTTCCTCTGGTTTCTTCAAACTACGGGAACTGTAATCAGCAGAACCACCTCTCTTCTTCCTTTCCTTCTTGCTTTTCGTCTTCTTGCTTTGGGCAACCTCATCTTCAAAAGAATCGACAATATCGTGTATCAGCTGCCGGTTCGGTGACGAGACCCACCTGACCCAGTAACTCGTATAACACCTGAAACAATCGCAGGTGAAAAGAGGCAGGCGGTCGCTGCCGCTGCCGGAGGTTCTAGCTTGTGTTTTTGGGGTGTTCTTACGGCGGCTTGAAAAGTTGCCGAAATCGTTGTTGGAGCAGGAGATGAGGTAGGCCAACACTTGTTTGTCGTCCGGGGAAAGTGCAGCAACTAGGGTTAAGATGGTGGCCGGAAGGAAAGATAGATGATCGGCGGTGATTGATGGTGATGGATGAACGGTGGTGCCTCTACGGTAGAGTTTCTTCATAGTTTCCGATTTTGATGATCGACCGGAGAATCTTAGAAAGAGAGAAGAGAGGTTTGTTATCCAATTGATCAGAATTCTTTAGACTTTGAAGAGTTGATGAGGTAATTTAAAGTATTATTATAGTTCTTTCTAGGTCAAATTCTAGTTTTAGTCCTTTACTATATAAAAATTGAAATATAATACCTTTATTTTTTTATAAGAGTAAAATGAAAGTGTTATACATGATTGGAGTTCAATATTTGATATCAAGGATTTAAATAACACAAGTAATTTCTAAATTACACCAATGACTTGGTTGAGTTTGATTCTTCTATTTAAATTCGGCATGGATTTTATATTTACATTTTTACAATGTTAGCAATATATTTAAATAACACAAGTAATTTCTAAATGTATGGAATTATGTTTGAAAAACTCTCAATCATTTGACAATAAACATTTAAATATCCATGAAGATATAGTACTCGAACCCAAAACCTCTATAAATAACAATGTTATTAAAATCGGACCGGCCGGTTGAACCGTGAACCGGTGATATGTCCGGTCTGGTTAACTTCCAAAACCGGCTGTGCACAAAATCGGTAAAGAACTGGCTGAGAACCGACAAAACCGGGGTGAACCGGCTGAAAACCGGTGTAAACCGCCGATTCTATTTTTTTCTTTAAAAAAAATTAAACCAAACGACGTCATTTGTTAAACGAGCCGAATTGAACTCGAAAACTTTAAAAGTAAGTTCAACTCGACTCAAAAACTTACGAGCTAAAAATTATCAAGTTCAACTCGAACTCGAAATATAATATTGAAACTTGAACTCGAAAAAGCTCGAACTCAAAAAAAATTTAGAAGCTCGATTGAAGCCTAAAATTCGAGCTCAATTGAAGTGAAAGAATAGTTCGCTCTGTGCTCACCAAAAGACTCTATGATTTTGAATGTCAAATTACCTCTAGTATTTATAGAAGTCAGTTGAGATGTTCTTCTATATTTCTTAGCCATGTGAAATTGTTTTGTTTCATATTTTTACTCTTTAGACTTTTGGGATGCTCTTCTACGTTTCTTAGCCATGTGAGATCGTTTGTTATAATTTTTTTCATCTCCAAATTTATTTTTTAATTATAGTTATATAATTATATTTATTATTTAATATGTTTTACTTTAAATATTATATTGTAGTTGATTTTAATCATTTTGTTTCACTTGATTTTATGTTTTTTAACTTATATATGTTATGACTTGTGATATTTTTATACCTTTTAATATTGTAAACTTAAAAAAATGTTATATATATTAATATTGCTTTGAATATTATGTAAATTTTGTAAAAAAAATATTATTTTATATAAAATCCGATTGAACCACGATTGAACAAGTGAACCAATACCTTCACTGGTTCAAGGTCCGATCCGATTTTAAAAATATTGATAAATAACAATAATCCCTTTAATTACTAAGACAGTTTGATTTGTGCATCAATATAATAATTTTAAAAAATCTTAAACGTTCAGATGATATTTTAATTTATTTTATGTTGAACGTGATTCAGTATATTTTCACATAATCAAATTATATGATTAAATGACAATGAAAAATCAATGCCTTTTTATAATACTAAAAATTAACATTATTAGCAATTTAGACACACTAATATGCTCTAAAAAATACACTAATAACATTGTAAAAAGGATAAAATATATTAGTAATCTCTAAATTATTTTTATTTCATTTGATCATTAAATGTTTAGAAATTACAAACTCAACATTAAATTTATTGAAAAGTTATATTTTAATTACTTTAACATTATTTGTTGTTAAGAGAATGATGGGGTTGATCCATCAATTATAATTAAAATTTAATCCAATATTTTGTCGAATACTTTAAATAATATTTTTAAAAAAATAAAATCTCATATTTTTTAATATATGAAAATAAAAAAAACAATTTTAATTGCGTATTTGTTTATTGAAGATAAATCTATCCCGCCTTGTTTGGTTTTGTGACAGATTTTTGTGTGTATAAACTGTTTCTTTTATTCTCCAATATTTGAGAAGATTAGATGTCTTGTTGTTATGAGCTCCGTAACTGCCGTATATTCTTTAAAATTTTAAATTGAGAATTTTTAAAATTTATATAAAATTAATTTTAGAATTCTAAAAATAAATCATAATTATATAAAATTAAAATTTCTTATTTTTTGAAAGTATTGCTGAGAAATATTAAAAAAATAATAAAATGAAATATTAGTTATAATTAGGGGTCAAATAAGATATTAACCATTGAGTTAACATTTCACATGATCCACTTAGCAGTAGGTAATGGTGGAGTGATCAAAATGTAATTTTTCAACAAATATAATGACCATTTTATAACTTTCAAAAGTTCAATGAACAAAATGACACAAAATCATAGTTTAGGAACTTTTAATGCACTCTACCCTATAAAAAAAGGAACCAAATTACGTTAGAGTAAAATGATTAAAATATCAAGTTTTAGTTATAGTAGAATGACTAAAATTACAATTAGACCTTGTTAATTGTTTTATTCTTGGAAAGAACATCAGAGATTGGTATCGTAGAGTTCAGGAGGGGTGTATTCGAGTGCGACGCGGATGTTAATTTGAGTGTATGGTGTACGGTGATCAAAAGTTCTCACAGTTTGTATACTGTTACGGTTCGTCGTCGTTTAGGGCTGCAGTTGTGTAGTTGTTTTACTGATGTGATGGGACCTACTCTTTCGACCCGTTTCTGTTTGTCCCACTGCACTGTCCCCCCTTACACGTCAAATATTACATATAATCAAACAAGGTTGGCGGGAATGGCTTTGGCATGTTTAGGGAGCAAATCATTGGTTCGATCGATTTAATTCTTTTCTAATTTGACTTAATCAATCATATTATGTAGTATATAGTAATCAAATCAACCAACTTCTATACATTCTTTCAAAAAAAAAACTTTTATACATTATTAATTAGCTTAATCATAAATTTCAGTTAACCAAACCGACTTATAGTCTTCCATAAGCATCGACACGTACATTTAAATAGAGAAAATTAGGTTGAGATAATCATTCTCATAATGATAATGAATATCTACGATTATTGGTCTAGATTAATTGGCCAATATGTCAAGTACCAATGATTATAAAAGAAATCAGATCATGCTGAAGGAAAACGAAGGGACAAGATTTAAGTATAGTAGAAGTACCAAAATCATAATTTGACCTTAAATGCTGATCTTCCCGGAACCATGATCGTAATTTCCATGTACTGAAACTGTGCCTGTTGCAGAGTGCATTAAGCAGAAAATCTGAGAATCTTTTAATACAAATCCTTCTACAAAGCTTGAGAGATACCCTAAGCAAAGGTCTGAAAGTTCAATGTTTCTGATTTAGACGGTACATCTTAATTAATAATTACTAATCACAATTAAATTAATTCACCATATGATTCAAGAATATCCTTGGCGGCCACAGTACAAGATTCATAAATAAATGAATAATTTCAGCAGATGCCATATGAAAGCAACATGATATCTGCAAACAATATTTGAGATATATGCATATGCCAACGTTCTATCTCAATAAAGTATCGATTAATGCATGAACCAAACTACCCAAATTGTTAAAGTAATGATTGTTATTCCTATAGGTCCTAAGTTCGAGTACAAAAGACTACAAGATATTTGAGCATCTATTGTCAAATGGTTAATAATATTTAAAACATATACCACCACTTGTAAGCCATGCTCATGCAGTCATGATATGAATTTGTTCTTGTTAGCTCTACCCCAATCTCGTCATAGCATCATTGGAATAAAATCAACAAACTACCACACAATAATTTTCAAATAAAACCCGGGTTTTCTCGTTCTATCCTCTTCAATCATTCCAAATTATCTCTTCATAATTTTAGGTTTCAAAGCCTAACCTTTCATAAGAAGAGAACATCATCTTTTCCCCTTGGCTTTCTTACGCAAAAATGATATTTAGCCCTCTGCAGCACCGCCTTACGAAACTAGAACTTGAAATCAAGAAACAATAGAGCTATACAAAATCAGAACGGCACCTTATTTTTTAGCATTGAGTTACACTCAGTAAACTATGAAAGAATTGTACCCACGATCCACCTAAGCATAGTGGCTTTATAGTTCCACTTCAATCCATGGTTAAGCTGAAACATAGTTCATCAACAAAATGGTTTTAAGAATAAGAAACTCTAGCTCAAGCTCTCGACGACCTCCAAGCCACATAATAAAGCTTAAATTGAGGTAAGCTAAAAGAACAGTGACAATTTATTTCTGCAACAAAAATGTTTTAGCAAACTTCAAAGAAGGATGTAAGAGACAAAATTAGTGAATTTTGTTGATTCGTAATGGCATGCATTCATTAAGACAATTAGCAAGTAAGCAGCCTATCTAACTCCTAGCATTGCATCTTTTAAATGGTAGCTTGATATTCATCGATGTTTGTTTCATCGCATCCAACCGGGAGATCATATATTCGAGTTTCTTTAAACAGATCTCATTCGATATTCTCGAACTATAATCACACTTCTCAAATGGGCGATACTCGCAGGCACTCTTGATTTCATCCCTCAATGTCACTTGGATGTCCTGGGCATTTTTAAAACAGAAATGCGTTAATTATCGGAAAATTCTCAACTAATACGTAATCCGATTCAATCTTAATTCAACCCAAAGTTTAAAACTAACAATTCAAACCCTAATTCAAATATTATCAGGAAATTCAAGTTTAAGAACAACGATTCAGCAGAATAAAGCAGGAACCTTGATCATCTTCATGAATTCACGACAATGATTGTTGATAAATTCTTTCCTGGGACCCGTTGGATTCGCGAGTTCATCCATGACACCTCCAGCCAGCTCCAAAACCCTAACTATTCGCTGTATCCAATCGAAATCACGAAAAAATAGCTTCTCTCATAATTGCCTGTTCGGGGGAAAAATAATTAAACTTTCCTTAAAGGAATTGAAAGTTATTTCGTTACCTTCTCCACATTTCGAAGCCGCTGCAAGGAGGAGTTTTGAGTGGGAGAATCCATGGAAATTTCTCACTTCTTCAAACCAGCAAAACCCAAAGTCACCTTTTCGGAATAATTGGCTGATAAAATGACACAGAAAAGGTCAAATTGTACACTAGGTTCGTTCTGCAGTATGCATGTTTGCAAATTTAGTCCTCTGTTATAATTTGACAAAATAATTAATATCGACAATTTAATTAGGATAAATTCTACTGTGATTGATTCAAATTGATAAAAACAAATAAAAATTTAAGAATAAAAAAAATAATAAATTAAGGACTAAATACAAACAATGCATAGTACAAGAACTTTATACATAATTTATCCCTCCCCAAAATACGCCAAGTCCAGTACATTACGCACCGTTTGAGTATTGTTATTAATATTATAGAGCAGCCGTTTGAAAGTCAAAACTCACTTCGATTACGTGGCGATACGTGGTTGGATAGTTTCTTCAGAACTAGCTAATATAATACACAGAACCGAAACCAAAATTCCTTTCTTTATTTTGTTAGACCAAACCAAAAAACATCGAGTAAAGTGGGAGAAACGAGCTGAATCCATGGCGGCCTCTAAGCTACAAGCTCTATGGAACCACCCAGCGGGACCCAAAACCAGTGAGTTGACTACCCCCTTCTACTATTCCGATGATTATATTTCAATTATTCGTATTGATAGATCCTTCATTGTATTTATTGGATTAATTTGTATTAGCGAAATCTCAATTTTTTCCATGAATCTTTTTTCTCCGACAAGATCCATGCTTTTTTACATAAGATTTGTTGGGTATTTGGGTTTCTCTTCAAACTTTGATGGTTAAGAAACTAGAATCGCTTATTTATAGATGAGTTTTTTTTGTTCGGTTGGAAATGAGGCAGTTTCCAGAATCTAGTTTTGTTTAATTTGAATGTCCGGTTAGATTGATATCCTCTGAACAATGAAACCCAAATTTTTGGCTGATTGATTTCCTCTGAACAATGAAAACCAAATTGATAAAAACAAATGAAAATATATGATAACAAGTGAAGGCATATAAACTGCACAACACGGAAAGAATACTAGTATCCCATAATTGATGGCATTTGAATATGAGAATCAAATTGAATTTATTGCATGCTTTTGAGGTCGCAACCCATGTCGCTCGGTTTCAAATGTGAGTGTTGGATATGGGTATGAACCTGGCACGAATATGGTTACAGTTTTGTAATTTTTCTATGTATTTGGACGATTCTTGGAGGGCATATTCCCATCCGTGGTTCTGCCATGAGTGTCGAACACAGGGACTTCACGAAAAAGAAGAGTTCGAGCAACATAAGCGCAACTATGATTTGTTACATTAGTTTATACTTTATAGATTGATGGAAGCAAGTGAGGTGTTATGAATCCCATAAATATAAATAGATATCTTGCTGGATGATATATCGACACGTACAATCTGCAGGAGATATTTTGTAGAAGATATGTTGACATGTAAATCTACCAATGTGGTTTATTGCTTTAAACTAACAAGGCATTTTAATGATTCAGGTTATTGATTCTTAAAATCATACATAAAAAAAAACTATTGGCTTGTTTCATTTCAGTTCACTTTTGGGCACCAACTTTTAAATGGGGCATTAGCATAGCCAACATAGCTGACTTTGCGAAACCACCAGAAAAACTCTCCTACCCTCAGCAAATAGGTATGTGGCGTTTTATGATTTCTAATAGATCTATATCTGTGAGTTGAACATATTATTTTATTCTGAAATAATTGCTTCCTTGTATTTATTGAATGCTGCTTTCTGGTACACCAGCGGTTACTGCAACCGGAGTCATCTGGTCACGCTATAGCACTGTAATCACTCCTGTAAGTTTGATTATTGATTAGATTACCTATAAGTGTGCACATATAGGAACTTCAATGTTCTTTTAACACTTATAATAAGTTCGGGCTGGTTTTGATTCTGTCATTCCTCAATTTTAAAATGCAGAAGAACTGGAATCTCTTTAGTGTGAACATTGCTATGGCCGGAACAGGCATATACCAACTGTCCCGAAAAATAAAGTAAGTCAACTTAACCATTGATGTATGTTTCCCTTCTCATATTTGAACCTTTGCAGCATATGCTGAATCTGTTGTCTCTGTTGCCATTGATTTCTATGGCTGCTCTCTGATGCACTGTTTTTATATGTTTTCAGACATGATTACTTTCCAGAGGGCGAGGCAAAGCCTGCTGTTGCAACAGAATGATGGCGGAATCTTCCGAAAATGCCTTTTTTCCTGGGTCAATTATCAGTTGTTTTCTTGTTTTGCTGTTAATTAAAAGTTGTTAATTATTTCAAACATGTTGTGTTGTGGAAACCTGTAACATGATGTTGAGTTTAATTCTGATTTGTAGAGCCATCAACAGATACTGAACTGATCATCTGAAGCCCCATCAATTTCAATAATGCTTTTGTTCCCTCACTTCATCTCTCTTCCCATAATATATATATATAACTTTATGCATTATAAATTTTAGAAAAAGAAATAAAACTAATTTTAACTATCTTTTAAATAACTTTATGCTTGTCTCATCTTTGGCTGAAGATGCGAGATGCCTCATTGTGGCCCCCTTTACCCGACCTAGATGGAATAGGTCAGATCCAAAAGATCCATTGACTTTATCTCCAAAACTTACCAAAATGTTATTTAAAATACATTAAAATTACCCCTCGCATTTATTGATTTCAAATGCTTTAAGTAAACGGAATAAATTAAATAATAGTTAAAAACGTAAAACAAACATACCAAATCCAAAGTCCAAGTCGAAAGTCCAAAACAAAATTAATGTCCAGTATTCCAAAATATTTATACATTATAGATATTATCCAAATAAAGTACTAATAAAATTTGGAATCTAAAATTCGAGTAAAATGTCAAACTATGGAAATAATGAAATCTGAATAATGTCGCAACTCCAATTATTGATTCACATAACTCGAGAATCTAAAAGAAAGAAACTATGGGGTGTAAGCTAATAAGGTTAGTGTGTCTCTAAGTACAACAATTCACAAAAAATAATAAAGTCTGAATCAACCAAAGGTAATCATAGTTCGAATGTCATGCAAATGATTATACACTCATACTCCTGTCACACAATCCAAAGAGTGAGTTTCCCATAACCACACTATCTACAATCTCACTATATGAAGTAGGGTCCAACACAAAGGCAGAGACCACTGAATCCGAAAATGACATTCACCCCGTCGAGCGAATGCATTGAGCTTCTCGTATCAAAATCTGACACAATATGACATGTAAAATGACATAATATTTGACGCCTGATCTGATCCGAATAACAATATTTCATAAGAAATATTATGAAACATATATTTCGATTCTAATATTTCAACATATTTACAAATTACATATGCACAACAGTTTTATGATTCCAACAGTTCAACATGTATCCCATGTCATTTTTATATTCAGCACAACTAGTCTCACAAACAAACAGGCTTTCAATCAATTTCAACCAAACAAATAAATAAGCAACCAAACAAAATAATGTAGCACCGAATAGAGAGACATACCTCAAAAAACAGTAAAGGACGATAATAACTTTTACAACGATTAGTTCAAGCAATGGATTGACCCGAATCAGAATCTACAAAATAAATTAATAAATAGATAAATACTCTAAATAACCGACAAATCCAGACGACTAAAATTCCAACTGTCACTCACACTCAACATGAGTAATATGAGTCGGTTCGAAGTTCGTGATTAACGACGTAGAAGGCGATAACTCGATTCTTGACTCGATATTTCTTGCAAAGACACGACGTTCGGATTTAGGATCCCAAAAATACGAATTCCAGATTAAAGTAATAACTAACGACGAATAAATATAATTCTGATTCGATAAAGAATTGGCGACATGGTTGATTCGAACTAAAAGGTTGTCGAACAGTGTCAGCAACACCCACTGTCGCCCTCATAACCGCCGGGACAAACACCATGGCAACAACCATGACTTGGTGAACGGTAACAACCTTGGCTGCCCAAAGGAAACCCAAAACGGCTAGAACATTCCCGACAGTGGCTCACACAACCTGCTATGGCTTGCCAGAAAGAACACAAGTCGATCATGCCTTCACCGATGCAGGTACATTAAAATTACCCCTCACATTTATTGATTTCAAATGCTTTAATTAACCGAAATAAATCGAATAATAATTAAAAACGCAAAACAAACGTATAACAAATCCAAAGTCCAAAGTACAAAACAAAATTAATGTGCAATGTTATAAAATATTTATACATAATAGATATTATCCAAGTAAAATACTAATAAAATGTGAAATAAAATATTCGAGTAAATGTCATACTATGAAAATAATTAAATCTGAATAATATCGTAACTTCAAGTACAAATTCACTTAACTCGAGAATCAAAAAGAAAGAAATTATGGGGTGTAAGCTAATAAGTTTAGTGTGTCTCTAAAATACGACAATTCATAAGAAATAATAAAGTCCGAATCAACCAAATGTAATCATAGTTCGAATGTCATGCAAATTATGACCCATACTCCTATCACACCATTCGAAGAGTGGGTTCCCCAGAACCATACTATCTACAATCACACCATATGAAGTGGGGTTTACCATAAAGGCAAAGGCCACGAAATCCGAAAATGACATTCACCCCGTCGAGTGAATGCATTGAACTTCACCTATTAAAATTCGACCCAATATGATATACAAAATGACATAACATATAATGTCTGATCCGATCCGAATAATAATATTTCATAACAAATATTCTAAAACATATATTTTGATTTCGATATTGTAACACATTTACAAATTATGTATGCACAACAATGTTCCAATTCATACTGTTCAACATGTATAACATGTCATTTTTATATTCAACACAACAATTTCATAATCAAACATGATTTCAATCAATTTCAACCAAATAAACAAATAAGCAACTAAATAAAATAATGTAGCACCGAATATAGAGACACCTCGACAAACAGTTAAGGGCGGTAATAACCTTTATCACGATCAACTCGAACAGTAGATCGATCCGAATCAGAGCCTATGAAATAAATTAATAAATAGATAAATACTCTAGATATCCGATAAATCCAGACAAATAAAAATACCAACTACCACTCACGCTCAACACGAGAAATACGGGTCGATTCGAAGTTTGCGAGTAATGACCGAGTTTTTGCACACCTTTAATCCGGGTTTGAGAAAACAAATGTCCCCGACTTACCTGGAGAAAAGATTATTATATGATGTTACGTCATTCGTGGTCTAATTAATATCATTTTTATTATTTTATTTTTTAAGATAAATTTATACCTCTTTCTTACTCTATAAATAAAAAGTGAATAATTATTTAAAAATTAATGAATATAATTTATTGAGTTCATAAACAACGAGTCGACGTCATAAAATAGTTTCTCCTACTAGGCATAGCATGTAAACCGTAAAGGGAGGCAGTTTATTAACAAAAAAAAAAAAAGGTTAAAAGAGGTGGGGCTGACATCAGAAATAACACCTTGCCCGGATTGATCAAAGAGGATATATAGTCGTCACTTGTCGCTCTTAATTTTTTTAACTATTCATATATTTCATATATCTTTTATTGATATTATAATTTTATATTTTATATTTTCAATTTTTTATTTTATAAATTTATTTTTTTTTAAAAATATAAATTTATCTCTTAATTTTCTAACATAAAATCACACGTCAATTTATGCAACTCATGGATCTTCCTATTACGTGAAAGAACGTGGGTACGGTGGGGATGATGGGCTTAACACATCATATTCGTAGGTAAATTCCAAAGAAAAGGATACATCCGCATTTTCTGTGAATTGACAAAGGAAGTTACGCACGGTTTAAAAATTAAAATCGGTCAAATCAATCTTTTAGAGATGAAGATGCTTCCATGTAGAGCTGAAGTTAGGTGCTTTTCAACCCAACATTGGGATGCATGCAACCATGGCCATTTAATGTATATGTTAATAGTTTGGTAAGGGAATCGTCCAAAAACTAATAGGCTCTTTATTTAATGATGGAATAGGCAAATAAATATATTACACTAGTCAATCTTTTTAGTTTAAATGAGAATTTCGATAAATATCGAGCACAACAATAAAATAAAATGTATTAGGATATAAAAGTATATTATTAAGAGAGATAACTTTGAATCCTATATATAAATTACAAAATAAATATTAATATATAAAAGTCAACTTCAAGCTTTATATAAAGGAATCCATTAATCCTCTGAAATTAAATATAAAGCTTTAATTTACTTCTTGAGATTGAATAAGATGTATGATTCAATAATTCCAAACCCAAATCTCATATGGTAATGTAAGCAAACTGATAGAAAGAAAAAATACAATGCAAAAAAAGAAAATTCCCTTAATTTTAAGATTAAGAAAGTAAAGGTAATTATAAAAAAGGCAAACATATCGAGGAAGAATGGTAGTTTTTCTATGACTGCTGCTGTGCAACTTTCAACCAACCACAAGGTATTTTATTGAAGCTAGACTGTGTTGATAGTAAAACAAAATTAATATATTTTATAAAATGAAATTTGTTTTATATAACATCTATTTATATTTATTTTCTCTATTAGGTGGATACATATTACATTTATAAGGTAAATGATAAAATTCAAATTTAAATAAAATGAGATATAACATGCGTATCTTTGACTATTTGATCAATTAATGAAGCTCGTTAAACCATACACTTAGGGTGCGTTTGGTTCACGGAATGTAAGATTACCAGTGAGAATAAAAGATTACCAAGGAATAGGATTATTGGGAATGTTGTATTTTGTGTTTGGTTGGTTTAGCAAGAATGTAAGACTACCATGTTTGGTTAAAAGAATAAAAGATTATTGGAATGTATATTTGACCAAATTGTCCTTATTATATATTTGTATAATATTACAAATTGTAAAATATTTATATATTTTCTTTAAAAAATTAAATTCATAATATTTATATAATTTTTTTTACAAAATTAAAAATATAAAAAAAGTTTAATGAAAAGGTAAAAATTTTTTAACCCCTAAACTTCATATAAAATTTTAATTATAGATTTTTTTTTGTAAATCTAAAATAATTTAAGGATAAATTTATAATTTAACCTTCGTAGAATTTTTATTATTCAATGACAGAAGAAGGATATTTTTGAAAAAAAAATAAAAATTTAAGGGCATTTTAGTCTAAAACGCCGGTAATGTTACAATACCTAAGGGAATGGAGGTAATGACATTCCCGGTAATATACCCAAAAAAATCTATTATTGGTAATAAAATATTACCGAGAATGAGATTCCCGGCCAACCAAACATGGAAATGTGGGAATCCCACAATCCTTGAACCAAACACCCCCTTAAGATCACATTTGTAAGGGACACTTACCTTCCGGTATCCTCCGAGTGAGATAGCTAGTCCTGTCGACAGGGAAGCTGCTTTGATTAAGTTTGGGCTATTTCTGTATTGGCAAAAAAAAAAGTATATAATTCAATGGCTCCACAACTACCATTCCTCTGCCTGGGGGATGGAAGCTTCCTTCTTTTATCTTTTTTCCCTCTCTAAATTGTCCTAAAAGCCGCTCCTTTCTTGCTTAACCAATACTTCACTACTCTTTTTATGTTTCAAAGAAACCGTCTTTTTTAAGCAACAGAGAGCGCCTCTGCATTTTTTCCCCCAGGTTCCCTGTTGAGTGACAATGGCTAATGTAACAATACTGAAGATGGCGATGGCTTTGGTTGTAACAATGGCACCCAGCCTTGGACTGAAATGGGTTGTTGCAGCACAACAGCATCATCACGTGGTCGGAGACGACCGCGGGTGGGATCCTTCCTCAAACATCGCTACCTGGTCCTCCGGTCGGAGCTTCAGGGTCGGAGACAAAATCTGTAAGTTAATGTGTTGGGTTTTGGTTGTGATTAATTTGTTTAATATTTGAGTGCAACGTTTCGTTTTTTGTTTTCTTATTAATAAAAAATATACGGATGAATAGAAGGGTTTGATTGATATAATATTGGTATTTTAAGGACTACTTTAAAAACGTAGCCATAGTTTTGGAGTGTCTAGTGAATTAGTCCCATATATATATTGTATCACGTCGTGTTATCACAAATTTTGGACAGGGTTCGCCTACTCTGCAGAACAGGGGAGCGTCGTGGAGCTCAAGAGCAAGGATGAATACGAGTCGTGCGATGTGAGGAACCCCATAAGGATGTATAGGGACGGCTTAGAGAGCATCGAATTGGTTGAGGAAGGGATTCGATACTTTGTCAGCAGCAAGCCTGAGAGCTGCAAAAAGGGTCTGAAACTACACGTCGAGGTGACGCCTTTTGGTAACCCGGACACCGAAACGCCAAGAGTCACGGCAGCGGTAGACAACTCCGTTTCGACTGTGGCAGATGTGATGTCGACTGTGGCAGATGCCATCGCACCGACAACCCCTTCTGAATCAGTCCAGCTTTATGGGAACTTCATGTTGTTATTCGTTGGTCTATGGCTTTGCAGTTGCATGGCCTTTTAGTTATGATTTTTGGCAGTATTAATCGTTTTTTTAAATAAATTATGTTTGCCTTATGCTTTGTATGCAATAAATTTTCAAATACCGTCTGACTCATCTATTATGGTGTGTATAAATGAGGATGATAGTAGATAATGCACTGTTATTTTAAAATGCGAATGGCACTCTTCTTTCTGTACACAATGTCTCCAGGTACTCGTCTTAAATTTCACACAGAAAGAAGCTTTGCTTACAATGATGATAGACCGGATACCCTTCTTTATCGCATCTTGTTTCTTGCTGTCTTGCCACAGTGCAAATTCCATTTCCAGGAAGAGCAAGATATATTTCCCCCTCGGTTCAAGGACAACGCATACTTTTTTTTTATTATGGTGCAAGTTTGAAACACGGTGATAGAACATTACTTTTCTCTCAACACGACGTAGTTATTAGGTCCGTTCGTCTTTTGTATCTTAGAAATTCGCCTGAGAATGTCTGCAAAAACCTTCTTGTCCTGCGCCAAAGAGATTTGTCTACTTAAGTAATGGATGCATGAAACAAATAAGTATATCTCGTGGTGTTTTCTAGATTGATCTGTTTATCTAAGTGGGACATATGCCGCATAACTTGCCTTCTCGGTCCAGAACTACCTTGTGCAGTACTAATATGCATGAACCATATCTATGATGCTAAAGTGTTCCATTCTTCAGTGATTCAGAAAACACAGCAATACGTATTATACCAGCAATACAGGAAGAGGAAAAGGATTATAGAAGTATACCTCTGGAGTTTTCAGCCTAGCTCTAAATTTAGCCACAAGATCGGATGTTGTTACAGGTGCCTTTTGTAATAACACAGCTCTGATTTCTTCTTCAGTTACATGTCCAGCAGCTGATGCTGAACCTGCTTTTGAAGATGATGATCCACTGGCAGCTGATGTTGATCCAGCTTTTGCAGAAGATGATGTGCCTTTGGAATGAACACTGCCTTTGGAAGCAGTTGTATTTTCCTCTTTCACAGAAGCTTTTGAGTCCTGGTCCTCAAAAAATTACACGATAAACCGACAATTAAAACATATTTCTTCTTAAAATGTCTGCATGTGCATAGAGGCAAGTTCAAGAGCTTTGGTAACATACAGGTTCTGATTTAACCTTCTTCACAGGGGTACCATTAGATGCTTTTGTATCACCACCATTGGGTTTTCTCTTTCCCTTTGATGACTTAGATGCCGCTGCGGTTCCCTTAGCAGAAGCTGAAGGTGCTGGTTTCATTGGACTGTTGTCAGCAGGTTCTTCTTTAGGTGCATCCTTCTGTTTAAGAGCGAGTACAGGATTAAAGTTCATATCATCTTCCACCTGAAATAGAAAATCTTGGCATAAGCATAATTGGAATAGATGCCACAAGAGTCATGTAAAGTCAAGCGGGGACTAGTTAGTTCTCTCTTACTAGATGAGATCACACATGTACCATAGCTACAGCAATATTGATTCATGTTAGCTTTTGCTAGCTAGAAATGTATAGCAATAAGAGCTTATTAGGCATCCTTGAAGCTTACATCATCATCATCATCGTCATCGTCATCATCATCTGCATCTGATTCATCAAGCCCACTAGCTTTCCCTAATAGTTTCTGCAACTCTTTCCCAGACTTGCTCAGTCCTCCTCCTTCCTCATCTTCATCCTGCTCATCTTCATCCTTAAAGAAAACAGACAAGATTACCTACTAGTCAAAGGAGATTAGTCATGGTGTAATTTCATAAATGATAAAATACCACCTCAATCAATAGAAGAAATTGTTTCGGTGCGAAGATACAAATGCAACCAGATAGCAAAACTTTGCTTTGAATAAAGTACTAAATAATCCAAGTGATTCTTATTTGCCGGAAAGTCATGGAAGAGAAGTCTATCACCAAAAATAAGTAAACTCTCAAACAAAAAAAAAGGAGTTTCTTTTAGATTTCTATAAGATGGTCCCTCAATCACTTCTGATTATTAAAAGATTTTGTCTATCAAAAAATCGCAATCCTGTTAACCCATTGTTATGAAAAATATCTATGCAGCAGTCTTCGAATAGAGAATCTTTTTTAGAGAAAAGGTGGAACAATGCCCCATCCAGTACAAACTACAAAGTTGCTCGGGTCTAAACTTATGAGAAAAAAAATCATAACAACACAACGCTATCCGTAGCTTGCAAGTTTACCTCCTTGATTTCCGGAGGAGCAGGAACTTCAGGAGCCAAATCCCTTTCCTCAGGATCGTTACCAACGGCCTCATCATCATCAGTGAATATTTCTTCATGTTCCCAGTCATCACCTAAACAAAATGCATGTTAATAAATAAGAGGAACACCAATTCTAGTAAAAAGTGACAATCTAGTGGCCTTCAGTGTTAGATGTGTGTTTCTGTGCATGCATGTGCTCAACACTAAGAAAAGTATAAGCATATACCTTCAGGTAGCTCTGTTATTTCATCGAAAATACATTTTGGGAAGAAAAAAATGTTCAGATGAATCCCATATTCCCATCCATAAAGCACATAAAGCAAAGCGTTAAAACTGACAGTACATACATGCACTTCAGGGAAAGCCACACTCAGGAGATATAAAAATAGGTGTCACCCTTATCTCAATAGTTATTTTATACTATTTCTATGTTAACTTCATTGATCTTCTAGCTCAACATTATTATCCAAAAAAAAAAATCTTCTAGCTCAACATGGAGACTAAACCAAATTCTCTATAAAGCAAAATGATAACAAAAAAGAAAAATATACCAAAGCACAAACATTATAAAAGCTCACCCTTCTCAATATCATCATCATCCATATCAAGATCACCTCCCCTTGGACCTTCTTCGTCATCATCACCACTTTTTTTGTTGAGTCCAAGCCTATTCTTCCTGGCTGCTTCCTCTTCTTCATCTTCCTCTCCTCGATCTGATACATGACCTTCTTCCTCCTCAGCAGTTGACTTTTTACGTCCCTTCCCACCACCAGCAGTACTCTCTTTTTCATCAACCTTCTCCACTTCACCAAATGCAGCAGCACCATTATTTGCAGCTTTCATCATCCATCTCTCATATCCATCTGCAGTCTTCCTACGGTTCTTCATTTTTTCTTCTGCTTCTTCCAGAGTAAGTTGTTTATATTGTGCAACCTTGTTAAAGTTGTACCTGTCAAAGAGTACCACAATTTTCAAAAAAGAAAGAAAGAAAAATCTAACCATGTTAAAAGATATCAATACTTCTACTACAAATAACATAATCCAATACGTGGTGGAAAAAAGTTATGAGCAGTCAAAACAAATAACAATATAGGTTACTCATACCAAGAACCAGCCGGAATAGCTACAAATTCCTTTCCTTGCATCGTAAGCAGGTAATAAGTTGCAGACTGTGAACATTCGCGCTGACCTTGATACTGAGCCTGACCTGTTTCATCCTCCAATAACCAAGGTTTGTTCTTATATTTCTCCTAAAAAATACAAGCCAACAATCACGATAGTCAGAATCAAATTAAATATGGCCATAATTAAACCAATCCAAGTGAAAGGGAAATTTTCCTCCTTAGAATACGAAATTTTATATTTGCTATATTCTTTGTAATTATCAATTTTGGTTCTGTAACACAGAAAAATAATGCTTCAGTCTACTTTTTACTCCTACTTGTACAACAATTATATCACATGCCGACATAAAAATTATGGGCCTGTCGGTCTGACTCTCAAATCCAAAAAGAATTCCATAAAACTTTCTTTAAACACATACTCGCCAAGACCTTTTTTTTTTCTCCAGGAACTTGGAGTATGCAGGCATTATATAATTTAGCTAGTCCGTTTCACAGTGAAAGCTAGAGAACATGCAAGAAATATTGTGGAAGATGACTATCGGATAGAGCAAAAATTGTAATTAATAATTTAAGAAAATAAAAATGAAGATAAAAGAGACATAAAATTTACGTGGAAAACCTCTAAAAATTTAGGGTAAATACCACGGGCAACGGTAGAAGAATTTCATTATGAGAAAATAGGAATTACAACTTCTCTCGATCGACCAAGGAGAAAACAATGATAATTCTCTCTTGATAAAAAGGAGAAAACAACTCTCAAGAAACTCTCTAAATTCTCTCTAAGTATTAGAATAAAACTATAATGCTTTGGGATAATTTTGAAACTAAATGAACTAGAATATTTATAGTTGAAGCTTTAAGGACTAATTTATAAATACCTTAAATTTCAATGGTTAAAATTAAACTTTTACCATTGTTAAAAAATCAACAAAATAGAGTTTATATTTTCGTTGCCTACAATTTTTAAAAAATTTAATAATTTTTTTTTCAACTTTCAATCATGCACCGAAAGTGCTTTGATTTTCAACAAGAAACAGCTGAAAAAGAGGATAAATCCAATACCCGCATAGCATCAGTAACTTGGCGTCCTTGTAATCCATCTTTTTGCATAGACCATTTATTCTCTCCATTTTTCTTCTTTGAAAAATTGGGCAACCCAGTCATAAACCTACCAATAAAGTAAGTCTTGTCGGTGCTAGGACTTGCTCTAACATTGTATTCCTAAATTTCAATCAACATAAATTCAAAAAAAAAATCATGTTCAATAATTAACCCAATCACACTATAAATCCATTATTAAAACATGGAATTGGTCATTAATAAGATGTGAAGACTGGGAAACGAACTCGAATCAAGCGGGTTATAATGGCGCCACATTCGGAGCATTTGCCCTGGTTCTCGGCCATGGTTTTGCCACAAGAGACGCAGAGGGTCATGTGCTTGCAATTGCTTCCGTATAAATCTTGGGACGATCCGCAGCCGCTGCATGTGGGCTTCAGCATCAGATCAAAAGACATCTTTTGTTCCCTCCTTCCTTCGTCCCCCCAATAGCAAAGGCAAAACAGAAGAGGCTCTAGTGTTTTAACCGAACGTTGGAAAAAAGAAACAAAATTCGAATAATAAAATCAAATTTACACGCGCTGCTCTTGCGTTCGTTGAAACTGAGGTACGTAAGAGAAATGCTTTGAGAGAGAAATTTATGAAATTGAAATTCTGATCGGTGAAACGAAAGAGGAGAGAATCTCGTCGCTTTTTTCGC